AGCCAACGTCACTGTCTTAGAATGACAGTCCAAAATAGCACGACACGGAGATAACCAATCCATACCTAATATTTTTCGAAATCCACCATACAAAGCAACATAATGTCCACTCGGGTCTCCAAACCCTCAATAGTCACCACACACGACCGATATACACGGTCCACAACAACAGTATCGCCCACTGGAGTAGATACACGAACAGATGAAACAAGAGACTCACGGGGCGTATCCAAATAACGAGCAAAATATGATGACACATATGAAAAAGTGGAATCAGGATCAAATAACACAGAGGCATCTTTGTGGCAAACTGAGACAATACCTGTAATCACCGCATCTGAAGCAATAGCATCGGGTTTGGCTGGAAGTGCATAGAAACGGGCCTGACCACCACCTGATCGACCTCCCCCTCTGGGGCGACCCCTAGCTGACTGGGTGGGTGGTGAAGTAACTGGTGTTGAAGTCGATGGCTGACTCCTCTACTGAGGCGGACCCCAAAGACGACGAGGACATTGCCTCCACATATGCCCCAACTCTCCACACTCATAACAACCCCCTGGTGCTGGAGATGGGGACTGAAGGGAACCCCTAGCACCGGGATGACTAGCAGAAGAACCTGGCATGGAAGAGCCCTGAACTAATGGAGCATGGGACGAACTCTGGGCTGGAAGGGCACTAAGTGAGGAATGTCCCTGATGAGAATTGTAAGAGCCATGGCCCGATGATGCCCCACGATAAACTGGGCGGGATGACTGAGCATGTCTGAATGGACGACCTCTGCCGTGCTGAAACTGACCCCTATGAGGAGCACCACTAAATCCACCCTGACCACGAGGTCTCTTAGCCTCCCTCTCAACCCTCTCCTGACCACGAACTATCTGTCGAGCTATGTCAACAACCTCATCAAAGGTAGCACCAAATACTTTCTCTCTGGTCATAAGCAATCGAAGCTAAAAACCGAGGCCATCTATAAACCTCCTGATCCTCTCTCGGTCTGTGGGAACCAACCAGACCGCATGACGAGCCAACTCGGAGAACCGCATCTCATATTGTGTAGAAGACCCATCACCCTGACGAAGCTGCTCGAACTGCCTGCACAGCTCCTCTCGGCGAGACTCAGGTAAAAACTTCTCCAGGAAGAGAACGGAGAATTGCTGCCAAGAAAGGGGCGCTGCGCCAACCGGCCTACGCCTCTCATAATCCTCCCACCAACTAAGTGTAGCCCCGGAGAACTGGAAAGTAGTGAACGAGACCTCACTGGTCTCCAGAATACCTGCGGTCCGAAGTATCCTCTGACACTTATCCAAGAAACCCTGTGCATCCTCTCCCTCAGCACCACTAAATGACAGAGGCTGAAGTCTACCAAACCTCTCCAATCTGCGCTGCTCGTCCTCCGGCATAACAGGAGCTACATAGTCCTGAGCAGCTGCAACCAGCTGGGCCGGAGGTGCCCTCGGTGTCTGAAGTCCCTGCACGACCTACTCAGGTGTGCGAGCGGCGGGAGTCTGGGTGCCTCCCCCGGCCTGAGAAGTAGTTGCGGCCGTGGTAACTGAGACCGCCTGAGCTAGGCCAGTGCACACTAATGGAATCTAGGCCAGGGCCTCCTGAAGGCCTGGGATAACAATAGGCACCGCCGGTGCCTAAGCTGGTACTGTTGGAGCGTCTGCAACTGGGACCTGATCATGAACTGAGGCGGTTGGTTGATCTGCAGGTGCTGCCCTAGCTGCTGTGCGGGCTACACCCTTGCCCCTACCACGACCTCGACCGCGTCCTCGGCCTCTAGTGGCCCCAACTGGTGGTACTGGTGGTCGTCCGTCCTGACCGGTAGCACGTGTCCTCACCATATGTGAGAGAATAGAATAACAGAAGTTTAGTTACCAGAATCAACAGGTTCGCGAACAGGAATTCAAGAATGTGAAGTTTTCCTAAAGGTTTTGCACCCTCTCGAAGATAAGTACAGACGTCTCCGTACCGATCCGCGAGACTCTACTAAACTCGCTCATGACTCGTGAGACCTATGTAACCTAGGCTCTGATACCAACTTGTCACGATCCTAAAACCGACCCGGTCGTGATGGCACCTATCGTGAAACTAGGCCAGCCGACACAAATCCCAAATCAAACTAATATTTCATAAAAGACATTTTTAAGCTATTTAATTGATAATATCTCATAACATGGGTCTAAATAACAAGTGCACAAAAATAACACAAGCCTGATATCGGGGTGCCACAAGTCACGAGCATCTACTAAGGTCTGTCTAAGTACAATAAAAACTATCATAGTCTGGAAATAAAGATACTAAAACAGTCTCAGGAAGATAAGAAGGAGAAGTGCAAGGCTGCGAACGCCATGCAGCTACCTTGCCGACTCCGAAAGACTTGCTGGATGAACGATCAGCGCTCGCTATCGCGACCCGCAACTCCTGGATCTGCACACAAGGTGCAGGGAGTAATGTGAATACGCCAACTCAGTAAGTAATAAGAGTAAATGAAAACTGAGCAGTAAGAAATCAGATAATTCCACGTCATAGCACTACAGCAAATACATTACATTTCCAAAACAGTATATCATTTATCTCATTTAAAAATCCAAGTTCAGTAAAAATTCTTTGAAAATGTCTTTCTAACAGTTTCAATAGAGAATCAATGAAGTTTAGGGTAAAAATGATGAAAGTCATAAATAGCCCCTCGGGCAAGACATGTAATATCAACAGAACCAGCCTCTCGGGCTACCTCACAATCACTCGTAATCAGCCCATCGGCACAACATGTATCAGGATCAGCCCCTCGGGCAACAACATATCACTCACTCTGGGTACCCGCGCTCACTTGGGGTGTACAGACTCCGGAGGGGCTCCTACAGCCCAAGCGCTATCACAAGCCATCTCGTGGCATAATAAATCAGGCCCTCGGCCTCTCATATATCACAAAACAGTACAACATGCTGCGGCGCAGCCCGATCCCATGATATCCTCACAACACAGGCCCTCAGCCTTACTCAGTCAGAAACATCTCAAGCCACTCGGGCTAACAATAAAACAGGGTGCTCAGTCAAAATTTCATTTATGCATCAAATTAGAGTAAATAAGACTAAGTATGAAATCAGTAAAACATAGCATGCCTGAGTACAGTTATTAAACCAAAACAGTGAGGAATTTCAGTAAAGAAAGCCCCTAAGGGTCCAAACAGATGGCACGAGGCCCAAATATGGCATTCTGCCCAAAACATAGTAATACTTTCTGACATATGATAGTATCAAGTAGTTTCAATCAAATATGCAACTTAATAGTTGCTGCGGGACGGACCAAGTCACAATTCCCAACGATGCACGCCCCTCACGCTCGCCATCAAGCGTGTGCGTCACCTCAAAATAGTAAAACGATGTGAATTCCGGGATTTCATACCCTCAGGTCAACATTTACAATCATTACTTACCTCAAACCGGACCAAACTCTAACCCGCGATGCCTTTGCCTCTCAACTCGGCCTCCAAATGCTCCAAATCTAACCAAAATCAGTATCACATTATTAATACACGCTAAAGGAACAAAGTCCAAGCGGAAATAATCAAATTAACTCAAAAATCCTGAAATTGGCCAAACCCGACCCCCGGGCCCACGTCTCGGAATCCAATAAAAATCACAACACTAGGATCCTTATCCCCTCACGAGTCCATACATACCAAAATCACCAAAATCGGACCTCAAATGACCCCTCAAATTCCCAATTTAAACTCTCCAATTTCAAGCCCTAATTCCCCAATTTTATCCCTAATTTTTCCACAAATTCCATGATTAAACAACGGGAAATCATCACACATATAAGTTTTATGACTCAAGTTACTCACCTTGTTGTTAACCCTTGAATCCCTTCTCAAATTCGCCCTCAAAAGCTTTAAAGCCGTCCAAAAATGGTGAGAAATGAGCTGAAAATCGCGTAGATGGCTTTTTATACTTTCTGCGCAGGCATCTCGCACCTGCGGCTCCCTTTCACGCTTCTGCGGACTGCTTCTGCGGTCAAAATAACCGCGTCTGCGGTTTTCACTTAAGTATCCAACTTCCGCACCTACGCCCCAGGCCTCGCAGGTGCGGTCAATCCCTCCGCTCCTGCGACAAACTCTGCATCTGCGGTTGCTTCCCGCGCCTGCGATCATCGCACCTGCGATCCCCACTCCACAGGTGCGGAAACAACAGAAGCAGCAAAAATTCTGCAGCAACAATTCAAGGCCAAACCTTCCGTCAACCACCCGAATCCATCCCGAGGCCCTCGGGACCTTAACCAAGCATGCCAACAAGTCATATACTACTATTCAAACTCGTTCCAACCTTCGGAACACTCAAAACAACATCAAAACATTAAATCACCCTCGGATTCGAGCCTAAGGATTCCAAAACTTCCGAATTCCGCAAACGATGTAAAAACCTATCAAACCTCATCCGAATGACCTGAAATTTTGCACACACGTCACAAATGACACAACGGACCTACTCCAATTTCCAGAGTTCCAATCCGACCCCGATATCAAGATTTCCACTGCCGACCGGAAAACGCCAAATTTTCAATTTCGCCAATTGAAGCCTAAATCTACCACGGACCTCCAAAATACATTCCAAACACACTCCTAAGTCCCAAATCACCTAACGAAGCTATCCGAACAATAAAAACCCAATTCCGAGATCATTTACCCACAAGTCAACTTCCGGTTGACTTTACCAACTAAATAACCAACTTAAGAGACTAAGTGTCTCATTCCGCCCTAAGACCACTCCGAACACAACACCACCAACACGATATGATGAAATACAACTGAACCACACACAAGGAAGCAGGAATGGGGAAAACGGGGCTGTAACTCATGAAACGACCGGCCGGGTCGTTACACCTTATTACATACCACAGTCTACACTTTTACAAAGCATGGTATATTATGCTCTTCATGCAGAGGCGGAGCCAGGATTCAAGCTTATGAGTTCGGGATTCTAATTGTTTGAAGCTACTGGTTCGAAATTAATAATTTATACATAATTCAACAAAATTTTAAAGATTGATGCGGGGTTCGAACCAAAGCTACTGTGTTCCGGTCGAACCCGCTCCCGGCACTCTAGCTCCGGCCTTGTCTTCATGTGTTGCACTTTGTGGAACATGTACACTATATGACCTATATCAATTAGCTACGTAGATCAGACATACATGTTTAACTTAAAAACCAAACCTATACTTTCTCATACCTAGTGTTTCTAAAACATCTCAAACTCAATATTCTCACCTATATTTTTTAACTCATTTTCACACTTGCTGCTCTGCTTATGTTGTTGGTTTGCATCAGGGAAGACATTTGCCAAGTCGTAGGATCGAGGTATTTCTGGAGGTTTTGAGCATCGAATTAACGCCCAGTTGAGTCCCTCAAATAATGGATGATGCTTTATTTCTGCTGCCCCTCTCACAGCTCCTAATCTCTTCTCAGGTTCCTTCTGCAACAACCTTCTCATTAAATCTCTTGCAAGAGAACTAACAGTAGGACTTTCTGGAAACTTAAGACATTGAGAAACCACATTGGCCAGTGTATCCTCGTTTCTTGGCCCTTTGAAAGGAGTCCTTCCATATATAAGCTCATACAAAAAGATTCCGAAGGTCCACCAATCTACTGCACTGCCATGACCTTCTCCTTTGATAATCTCTGGAGCCAAGTACTCGTGCGTTCCTACAAATGAGTTGGAACGAGCATTTGTTGGCTCTACAACAAGCTGCGGTAAAGGTGAGACTTGTGCAGGTAGGTCAGTCTTTAGCTTACGCGTATTTGCTGCAGCAGATAAAAACCTGGGGCTGAAGCAGGATACTTGCCAGAATGGATTTAAGCAGAAGGGATCTATGCAGCTTGATACTGAGCACGGACTAGACTTCTTTGGAGGCTCAATGACAGGAGAAGATGATTTCAGCAAGGTAGGATTAACAGTGCATCTTAGAGACAAATCAAAATCAGAGAGCATGATATGACCATCTTCTCGGACCAATACATTCTCGGGTTTTAAGTCACGATAGACAACTCCAAGCAGGTGAAGGTATTCCAACGCAAGAAGAACTTCAGCAACATAAAATCTGCACACAGCAAATAACAGCCAAAAGTCAAAAACATATAACTTACCATGTCTCACCTTAAAATGTTGAACAAAATCACAAGAAGGCATCTTAAAATCTGGAGAGATGAAAGGCTCAAAACACAGGTTGCATATCCCAACTCATTTCTTTGGAAATTAATTAACCAGAAAATAATCTCCATATATGGTGGGTATCCAGTTAGGATATGACATGCAAGCATGGTAATGTTATAAGAAGGGATGCAAGAGAAATGGAAGCTCATTTTCATTACTTCCACCTATTCACTACACAAATTCAGCATTTGTATTCCTATGCAATCCTACATTTTTTTTCCTGTCCCCCTCTTTACATTGAACTGAATCAACTGACATACATTCTATCATTTGTTGCTAAATGTTTGATATTAGCTACTATTTAGCAATCTCTGATTATTGATTGTCTTCCCCTGAAAGCAACACTTACCAGAAATTCACAGAGTTCTGCCAAAGACACAAGACCAACGCTTAAGGAGGCAAAATGGGAAGACCAAAAAGGACAAGAAACAGAAGTTAAAAAATCAAGGAAAGAGCAGTAAATTTTTGGTTGGAAGATTAGATCCTTTGATGTTTTCCAAAAATTGCCACACTGAACCTTCAAATTTTAAAGATGCAGAAACTCCCCATTGGAACAAGTAGTTTCATTACCTCCCTTGACCAAGTCACAATTTGTATGAAGATCCAAAGTTACAGGGAATGAAGATCTTCATCCCAAGTTTTATGGTATGTGCAATCAAGTAACCAAATTTTGGTTCAGCGGAATAGCAGGAAAAAGCAAACATCAGTAATGCAAACTAATTATTTTGGTTGGCCAATTATCTTATAAAAACAACTTTAATAGATTAATCTGGAAACTGGTAAAGAGGGTATCTTATCACTTATCCAAACCCTGAGGTTTAAGAGAACTTTTTTCCCCTTATTAAAGGCACTTCTAACTCTTATAAGTCTTCAGCCTCTTTAAAGTACCCTAAACCAGAAAAATTACCTGGCAGCTTGTTCAGGGAAATTCTTGCTTGGTTGTTTTTGTCGGAGTACATGCAGATCACCACCTGGACAGTAATCCATCACTAAACACGAGTATTTGTCATTAGTAAAATGGGCATAGAGTGTAGGAAGAAACGGATGATCGAGTATTTGAAGAATTTCTTTTTCAGTCTGAGCTCTCGTCATCTTCCTCTTGCTGGTCAGGAAGTCATTATCCATAACTTTCACAGCAAACAGACACTTTGTGCCCATTAGCTCAGAAAGATAAACATTCCCAATATCCCCACCTCCAAGTTTTCTGAGCAGTTTAAAATGCCTTAAGCCAATGTTTTCATGCTGCTTCTGAACACAAATATTAGATTTCCATCTTAAATCTTTTGACATATGAGAGCAATAACCACTGCGACTAGACCAACTGAGATAGCTTTCATCGCTAATGCTTGTGGTGCTGCTATAATCCGCAATACTACTCTTCGAACTTTGAGACATCTGACCCTTTTCCTTTGACCCCGATGTTTCATCAGCTTTTGTAAGTATACTTCTTTCTCTGTTACAACTCCTTGAGCTCAGAACTAGTTTAGCAACACCAGACTTCAGAGCAGATGAACTAACTTCTATGCTACTTACACAACAGGAATCTGGAGATTCCTTGTCCTCTTCTTTCTGATTATTCCTCGGAGCATATTCAGGTGTCTCACAAGGAAACTCACTTGTACTACAAGCCAAATCACTATCAATTCCATCATTAGATTGCTTGGAACTGCTGACAAAAGCAGATAATACTTTCTTCTTAGAAAAATTTTTGCTTCTGAAAACTGGTTTCATCAAACTTGAGCTGCTAGAAGTAGGCTTGATGACTTTATTTCCTGCACTAAATATAGATGAGCAAGACACAAAATTCGAATATCGTTCCTGCTCCCTGTCCGTTACAATTGCAGCTGTTCGAGCTTCATCTACAGCAGGAACCACCTGATCTTGTACTCGTTCCGCTTTTTCAGCACAACTGGAAGTTGAAGAATGTGGTAACTCCAGCATCTTCTTCTGCCCGGACACTTCTTTCAGGTAACCGTAACCAATATCAATTGCCGGACAAAAAGCCCCACTTTCTGCTTGTATTGTACTTGCCTTATGTTTCATTGCATCTTCGGACAGATTGGATGTATGAGTGACAAAAGTAGATTGTTCTTGAACTGGCACATTCTCAGATTCAGGACTTTTATGTGAAGAATCTGACATCCTCCTCTCTGGGACGAGGGATATCTGCATCAAATTCCCTACGCCTTCATCAACATGACGATTAGGGTCATTAGTCTCAACCAAAACAGCCCTGTACAGTCTATTGACAGCCCCCGTTTCTGAGACTGAAGACAACTTGGAAGCTTTTGACGATTGCTTCTTCACAGCAGCCAGCTCTGATGCCTGAGAGATGCATAATCCTCTCAAGGCCTGCTTCAAACTTACAGGCTCGGAAATTCCTATGCGTGATGCACGAGAGGAGCTAGATCTCATTGGCCTCTTCATCGCACTTTTACTCATTACATCTTTGACACCCCTTTTTGACTTACTCAGGACCCTATTGCAATTCCTAATCTCTATCGCCTCAAACAGTTTATTAATATCATCTTCAATACAATACTTTTTCATACGCTTCATGTGATGATGCATTTGCGCATCTTCATTCATTTTAGATTCAGGATTCTCTATTGGCTCTGTAATCGTAATCTCATTACTACCAGGCAACCTAGCCATTCTTCCTAGAAAACGATATATAAGACAGAGAAAGACAGAGTTTAATACATCCACCGGTAACTATCTAATCCATTTCCGACAAAGCAATATGAGGAGAAAGAAGTACACAAATCAAACAGTATATCAGAAACCCTCCAAATTGTCGTACCATCGTTTTCAACTCCAAAAGATGAACAAGAGCGATGACAGTACTGTATACTTGTATCCGGCATTCAACGCCTGATACAAACAGTGAACATCAGAAATATTAGTAGATAAATAAATTGGACACTTTAAGACATTGTAAGCATCAATATTTATGATTGCAATTACAGCCAGCTGTTTACAAGTTAAAGCAAATAAATGTTGATAAATTTGTTAGTTTACATAATGATGACAAACACCTCCAGGAACATATAAAACACAAATTTAGAGCACAAGTTTGTTTCCAACATATGTTAGCCTTTCTTGCATATTTATCAATGTCTATAGTTCACCTATTTTTCTACTTCATCTAAAATCTCTATTTCTTTAGTTGGTACTTTGCTGTATATACAAGCTCAAGCAATTTAGTTCTAATTTCTTTTTCACAATTATACAAGAAAAGGTTCAAAAAGTTATTCAAAAAATTCAAGATAAAACTTATTCATAGTTAAGAAAAAAATGAGTAGTATATGATCCATGATCCACTGACTTTATCATCCAATCATTATGATGCTCTAACCGTATATATAACTTAAACTCATTTAAAAAACAACATAAAGGAAGCAGAATAAAAACTGGGTACGCTAAGAAACATTCAAAATATTAATCTTCAATTGGATTGCATAACAGGAACTCTTCCTACTTAATACAAGGCAAATCAACAAAGCTATTCTCACAGCATAAAAATAAATAAATAAATAAATAAATTTGCAAAAACCAGAAGAAAAACATAATACTCCTTCTGTCCCAATTTATGTTTGACTCTTTGCTTTTCCATCCATCTCCAAAAGAATGTCACATTTCTATATTTAGAAACATTTAACTTTAAACATCTTATTTTACCTTAATAAGATGATTTATATCCAATAAAATATTATGATTTGCTACCATAAATTTTAGATTTTTTTTTTTGTTTTTTTTGAAAATAATAAAAAACAACCTAAACTTGTTATTGTCCCCAAAAACAATTAGGTGCAAAATTTAAGAAAATGAAAAAAAGAATATATAGAAAGGGATGAAGGAGCAACCTGAAAAGTGATCAAAGCAAAGGGAGAGCTGAAAATTTCATTGAACTGAAGATAAGTAGGGCTATTTATTATGCGTTTAAAGGAGAGGTGGATGAAGTGAAATACAAGGATATGTAGCAATGGAAGATAAGGAAAATCCACAAGTTAATTATTACAAAACAAAGCTTTGGAGAGCACGAGAGAAAGAGGGTGAAATTGAATGAGGAAATGAAACAAATAGACTTGTGTTGGCAAGAAATTTCACGAGAAGTCACACTCTTCATATTTTTCTTTTGTATGCCAATTTGGTGGGAAAAAAGATACTAGTTACTAATACTTGCATTAAGTTACTCCTAAACCGTCATTTTAATGAGTGAAATGGGCAAATTTTTATGGGACACGTGAATAAATAATCTCTCCGCCAAACTAAATATTTAATTTATATATTTTTTAAAATTAGTCTAATATTATCTATTAACATTGTGACACACATGCTCCACAAAAGCTGAATAGTGCACTTAATTAAATACTGGAGTAAGTTATTTATCCAAATGATCAATTCCACTTAATATTTTTTCTCATTTGAACGTGGAGACAGGGAGGTTGCTAGAATAATTTGTTTTTATAGTGTTCCTTTTTAGTGTTTGTTCTTGCTCTTTTTTAGTTTTGCTTAATATTAAATGTTCACCTTTTTGTTATTGCTTTCATTTTGGGGGGAAAAAAAGTTGAGCTGCAGCATTTCATTTGCTATTTCAGTTCAAATATGGATAGACTTTGTATCCACTTAAGTATTGAGCCTAGAGTTTTACTAGATCTTGTCGAGATTCAAATACAGGCTATGGGACCATTTAAGATATAATTTTTCTAAAATGAGTATACAAAAAAAAATTCTATGGTGATAATAAAGTGCAGTTCATTCTTGTGAAAAATTTCAGATTCAAATTCTTTTTATACTTCTTTTTTTCTTGCTTTTTTCTTCAAAAATATGAATATTATTTTACATTGCGGACTTTGTAGAATTTGGAAATCTCTAGCACAATTAAGCTATTAGCAAAGAGAAAACATATGAAAATTAGGTAGAATCTCATATTTTATCGAGAGAAAAACATAAATAGGCAAAATTCAAGAAAAAATTTCAAGAACCTAGCAGCAATTGAGATTTTACAAACATGGCAACTAAATAATTATATTCCCTAGCAACAAGCTTTAAACATCTATTTAAAGCACCTATAATCACGTATTTAAAGCATTTATTTCCTGAAGAAAAGGTAATCAAGTTATACTATTCAAAAAAGACTTGTACTTAATTATTTCTCACATTGCATAATTTGTTCGTTCTTATTTACAGTAAAATAAAATTAACAAATCTGAAATATAACATATATAATTAATATACATATAGAAGGTTAGAATATAACCTTATAGTTGCGATAATAAACGCTGAATATATTTTGTCTAAATTTATAGTATAACTATATACAAATTATAATAGATAATTATACTCCATGTAAACCACTATATAAGTAAACCAAATAATATACCAAGTAAAAATCATATTAATGTCATATTTTATTATTACTTCTTCAACCATTGTATGTATTGATTATGCATTAATATTGATAAGAGTGGATAATAAAATTATACGTGGAATATATATATATATATATATATACATAGTACTATAATTATGTATAAATATGTATATACATGATATAATAATGATATTTAATAGTCTATAAATTACAAAAAAAATCTAGTATACTAATATACACAGTATAATGATGGTATTTTATAGTTTATAATTACAGTGCTATTCTAAGTATATTAAATTAATGTTATATTTTATCATTCTAGTTCCACTTTAGTGTGTGGTTGAAGAATAAATATCCTTATAGAAGAAGATGGCATAAATGAGCGAAATAAAGAAAAAAAACTTTGAGAATTTTGGTAATTGTTGGTTTATGGAAAGAGAGAGAAATTTATAATCTTCTTACAAAATAAAAGTGAGAATGGAAACGATTTCCTTACAAATTGGGTGCTGCCATTTTGAACTTTTGAAATAGAAACGGTTTACTTAGATATTGAGTGCGGCATTTAAGATTTTAAATTGGAAACGATTTCCTAAAATATTGGGTGCAGCATTTAAGGGACTGCCAGTTATTTTTCTATAATGCTGTATTTGTAATAAAATATGCTATTGTTGAAATAAATGAAGAATACTATTAGTTAAAAAAATAATTTTTATAAAAAGATCATCCATGTAAAAATCTCTATTTTATCAACATTGGACTTGAGACTGGATCATGGCCCAAAAAGTAGAGAAAGCGGGTCGGGCTTAGATACGATCCAAATAGATTTAGGATGGATTTGATTCAAACTGTTGGATCAGTCAAATGGCTGATAGCCGTTTGATCAAAATCCATCCAAAGACGGTATACAATCTTAATAATAGGAAAAATCTAACTTTATACTCATTAAGCTCAAATTATTTAGTAAAAATTGTGTGGGGTAGTCACTATTTAAAGTGGTATTTACTTTTTATCCACCATTTTTAATGCTGAGCAAAACTAGCCACTAGTCTATGAAAATTAATATGAAAAGACAGAGTTACCCTTTCCTTCCCAAACAGAATTACAGTGGATTGGAAAGACTGGGTGGACCGAATATCAATAAATACGAAGAATGGATTTCGTTTCAGCCTTTGTGATTTTCATGGTTTTTAGTGAGCTTGTTTTTGTCTGTCATTCCAATCCAGTTTGTCAATCAATGTATCCTAAATATGAGATCCCAGTGTACAAAGAAGACAGAGACAACGTGCATTTTGCACAGAACTTGGAGTTCTTGGAAGCAGAATATTTTTTGTGGGCTTCCAAGGGATATGGTCTTGATGTAATGGCACCATATTTTCTGAGGAGCCATTTTAATGTTTCGTTGCAGGAGAAGATTGTTCCATATGATAAATGCCTTTTGGTTAGGCATCATAAAAAAAATTATAAAGAAGAAGGAAATCAAAAGTTAAGGACAATAGGTCCTGAACGTAGGCTAAGAAGCCCAAAAGTTAAGGACAATAGGTCCTGAACTTAGACTAACAAGCTCAAAAGTTAAGGACACTTGGTCCTGAACTTACAGTTACAAGTCAAAGTTAGACATAGGTCCTAACTTGATTCCAAGTTCAAAGTTAAGACAGACAGTCCTTAACTTACAGTTACACGTTCAAAAGTTAAGGACACTTGGTCCTGAACTTACAGTTACAAGTTCAAAAGTTAAGGACAATAGGTCCTTAACTTTGATTTCCAAGTTCAAAAGTTAAGGACAGACAGTCCTTAACTTACAGTTACACGTTCAAAAGTTAAGGACAAGCAGTACTTAACTTACAGTTACAAGTTCAAAAGTTAAGGACAATAGGTCCTTAACTTTGACTTACAAGTTCAAAAGTTAAGGACGCTTGGTCTTGAAGTTTGAGTTCCAAGTTCAAAAGTTAAGGACATGTAGCCTTGAAGTCCTGAACTTAGAGTTCCAAGTTCAAAAGTTAAGGACATGTAGTCCTGAAGTCCTGAACTTAGAGTTTCAAGTTCAAAAGTTAAGGACATGTAGTCCTGAAGTCCTGGAGTTAAGGACATGAACAGAAGGATATTTTCGTCCGGGCAGTTAAAGTTTATTAAACCAATGGCTAAAGACTAAAGACATTTAAAATACTGGCTTTAAAATAAAGACATGAGTTGTTAGCGGCTATTTGTGCACATCGCCCAATTATTTACCCTTTAATACCAAGCCCAAAGAATTTACTTTTCCTATATATACGCTCTAAACTATTTATCCGCCCACTCAACCCCCTTCCCCTTCAATTTCTCTAAACAAGCAGAGTCCCACACCCTAATCGCTCATTTTTCCTTTCAAAAAACACCCATAGCTTAGTCTTTTTAGTGGATGATGAAAATCCAGTACAAACACATGTATTTACCCGAATCTATTTTAGAATTTTCTAAATGAATTTTAAAAGACAGATTTTCATATTACTGTACATGGGTTTCACTCCAAAATTCTCTTTTTATATTAGTATTTTTTTTTTGTGTATTTATTTGTATTTCTGAACCCATGTATTGTTATGGTTATATATTAAGTTTCTCATATCTGATTTTTGTGTATGTATGAAGATCCACCATTGTTGAGCTTGAAGCTCCTGAATTTGAAATTTTATTTTTGAAGATTTTTGTTTGATTCGATGCGGGTGCTATAAAATATTATTTATAGTACCTTCAAGTAAATTTTTGGGATCTGAATATTTATGTGTATTTGAATATCCACCATTGTTTGGCTTGAAGCTCATGAATTTAAAATTTTTATTTTGAAGATTTCTTGTTTGATTAAAAGTGGGTGTTATTAAATATTGCTTATAGCACATTTTGGAAGTTCATACTGAAATTGATCGCATTTGGAGCTGATTTGAGGTGATTGAGATCGAATTTTTCAGCTGAAAATCGAAGAACACGGTTACCAATAGTATATCGCTACGGTATGCAATATGTTGTAGGAGTGTATAGCTATACTGCAACAATATACTTTAATCATCAAAGAAGTACACAGTTACCTAACAGTATACCATTACAGTATACAATATACTGTAAGAGTATATAGCTACACTGCAACAGTATACTATTATAGTATAAAATGTACTCATCATAGTATACTTCGACCGCTATATGTTAAATCATCTAGGTGCTATTGTGCAAAGTAAAAGTCGTGGATATAGTAACACTATATTGTTATAATATACGAAATAATGCAATACTTTACCGTAATAAATAAGTTATTTTTTATTTTATTTTATCAACTAGGTCCTTGTAAATATTTTCTTGAATGAATTTTTTGATAAAGTTCAATGAAAATAATATTTACTGTATAAGAAGTAGGTGTCGAAAGACATAAAAATAGCAATATACCTATTTGGTATATTTATATGCAGTTTTGATATATTATTGTGACAAGTATTTTACAATAACATTAAATACTAATATGTCAATACCATTTTATTATACCAACATACCATTGTATTATAATGATATGTAATATTTGATCATATGTGCTAGAAATATTTACAGTAATATATATATATATATATATATATATATATATATATATATATATATATATATATATATATATATATATAATGAAAAAAAGAAGAGAAAACATGCATAATGTATAAGTTGTTCTAATAATTGATTTTGAGAAGAAAAAAAAGAGAAAAAGAAAGACAAA